TTGTGCTGGCTTCCCCAGTATTGTGTACTGTCTCACCCTTCACCAAAGTTACCACTTACCTATTGTACAGAACTTAGTTTTGTTTGGGACACACCCAGCTCAGTGACTGCTGACCTCCTGTGCTATGTCCAGAGGCAGGTAAAACCACGGGACAGGACTAGAGTGCAAACAGATGTGGAGGTGTCTTTGCAGGGGATTGTTGAAATCATGGGAGTGACGAGATTCTTGGGGAGAAAAGCAGAAGCTATTGTTAGGAGGACGGACACAGCATGGACCCTAGGGGACACCACGCTGGAGGGCAGGGCAGAGGATGGATGCTTTTGAAGGCGATGGGAGACAACCATCAGGGGTTGGGGGGGAAACCCGAGGGTGCAGAAGCAGCGGGCGGGACAGTGTCTGAGATGGCCCAGAGAGACAGACCCCTTTGAGAGGCTTGAACACCCCTGGTGTGGCCACCGAGAGACCTCTGACGCCCGTGGAGAGCGCTCTTGGCAGAGTGGCGGGGACTTGAGGATTGGGTAGACACGAGGAAAGGGAACCAGTGGAACAGGCAGGTCCCACTCTGCGCCATCTCCACAGTGCTGCCGACATGGGGCCGTCTGCATTCCCCACTGCCCCTGCAACCTGTCCACGTGGTGGGCTCACTCAATACTTCCCTCACCGTCCCCGCCCCACCGTCCAGAGGCCACACTGCACAGCAGGGGTTGCCAGACTGATTCTGGATCCAGGTTTCTGGGCCCAGATCTGCCACCTTCTGGTTTGTAACCCCAAAGAAGGGACGTACACTACCTGTAATATGACGGGGTTCCAGAGGTGTGGCTGTCAGCTGCCGTCGAGTCGGCCCCAACTCATGGCAACCCGCAGCACAAGGGAACAAATTCTGCCCGGTTCTGCGCCATCCCCATGATGGATTACAGATCAGACCACTGAGATCCACAGGGTTTTCGTCAGCTGATTTTTGGAAGTAGATCGCCAGGCCTTTGTTCCTAGTCCATCTTAGTCTGGAAGCTCCACTGGAACCTGTTCAGCATCCCAGCAACACACAAGCCTCCACTGACAGATGGGTAGTGGCTGTGCATGAGGTGCCCTGGCGGGGAATCAAATCTGCTCTCCTGCATGGGAGGTGAGAATTCTACCGCTGAGCCACCGCTGGGGTCTGCAGATGTTTTCTGTGGGGGTCAGACCGTAAATATTTTAGGCTTTGTGGATGATGTGGTCTCTGGTACAAATGCCCACCTCTGCCCCTATCTTGGGGAAAAGCACAGACAATGTGCAAAGAAGCGAGCTTCCGCTGGATTCCGCACAAGTTCATTCACAAAGAGGCGGGGAGGAGGATGCAGCCCTCCGGTGTGGTTCGCCCACCCCTGTCCTAGGGGAGCAGCCTGACCCAGAGAAGCACCTTTTCTGCGCATCCCTGAGGCAGACGCTGCCTTCCCTTCTCTCCTCTGAGTGCACCAAGCGGCTGTGCGTTCCCCAGCAAGAGCTCACCCAGGCCCTCTCCCCGTGGCTCGTCCACCCTGGCAGTCCAGGCCCTGTTTACACATGACCCATCACCCTTGGTTCTCAGAGAATCCAGGAGACCGCTCGAGGCAGCAGGGAAGGCTAGAAGCTGATGCAGAGCAGACAGCGTGCGGGTGTAATTCGAAGAAAGCAGTCTTACTGTTCTGAGCACACCTGTCCACAGGGTCTTATATACATGTCTCCTTGCCTTAGCCGACCACGTGACCACAGAGAAAAGAAGACTGTTTCTGTATAAAGGGAAGGAGAGAAACAGACGGCAGGAGAAAGAGCCACGTCCCTCGAGTCATTTTCTGGGATTTTTGGGCTTTTTCCTCCTAATGCAGTTTCTTCTCTCCTGATGCTCTTTTGAGCCATTCTGTCTGGAATTCGCAGCCGTTCCCTTTAGATTGCAGTGCATTGCGTAATTGTGCAATGCTTCACCACTAAGGGGCGTGGCGGTCCATCTCCCCGACCTCCTCTCGTTGACTCCCACGAGGCTGCTTGTCCCAGGAGGTGCTCCTCCTGCTGGTCTGCTCCAAAGCTGAAGTCTGCCCGCAGGTGAGACGCCAGCAGGTGCTGTATGCAGTTAGCGGAAGGATGTCTCGTCCGCTTTGTTTTACACACAGTCCGTCCCCAAGCTGGGTTTGGAGTCCGCTTTAACTGCAGAGTGCCCGAGAGTGTCCCACATACCCAGGCCTGGTAACCCTGGAGTCCGCTTTAACTGCAGAGTGCCCGAGGGTGTCCCACATACCCAGGCCTGGTAACCCTGGAGTCCGCTTTAACTGCAGAGCGCCCGAGGGTGTCCCACATACCCAGGCCTGGTAACCCATGGCAACCCATGATGGTTTGGTCAGTGATCACAGCACTAGAGAAAACGAAGGGAAACAAAATAAAACAACCTTGCCTTAGAGTGGATTCAGACTCCTGGCGACCCCACGCATTACAGAGTAGAACTGCTCCCAGGGTTTTCCTGGCTGTAATCTTTGTGGAAGCAGACCTTCAGCCCTTTCTTCCGCAGTGCCAGTTGGTGGGTTCAGACCACCAATATTTTGGCTAGTGGTAGAACCGAAACCATTTGCGTCACCCAGGGACTTAAAGGAAATGGAGGGTGACTGTGAAACGGGGCGGGGAGGCCTGGGGGGGCTGGGGGCAGAGGTTCTCAGGCTTCCTGCAGTATTCACTAGACTTTATTAAAATGTTGAATTATTGTGAAATTGGAAAGAGTAAATATTTAGACAAAAGGGAAAACAGCTTACTTACAGAGAATAATGCTAAGGAATAACTTAGTTCCTGTCTGGGTGGAAAGGTGTTAACAACGGGGTCCCTCTGAGATGCGTGCTCGGGCTGGTTTTACCATGTGGGGGACAACTTGGAGGAGGGCTGTCTGGGAGACCCACGATTCCAGTAACCTCGCTAGCTGTGCGGGGTGGTGATGTGGCCCCTCCTGCAGTAGATTACACAAGGCTTCCTGTCGCCTGTGACAGACAGAAAGACATCAGGTCAGGCTGATGAGACCAAGTAAAGAGATAAAACAATTCAAAACGTCTTTAAGGAATGGCAGGTCTCAGCCTTAGAGCTCAGAATCCGTCGTTAGGAATTATTCTGAAGGATTCTGGCCGTCAGCATGAGAAAGGAGAGATCGTTTCTCTTCTTGAGTTGATCTGTGGTACCGAAACCTTGTGTATCGTTATCACTGCCTGGCAGGGAAACACAGCGGAGATACAAAGATATCACAAAAGGTCCCTAAGATCATTCAGGGAATAAAACGGTTTCCATATAGAGACCACCACGTCTGTCAGCGTGTCATACCGTGGGGACCTCTGTGTTGCTGGGATGCTGGAAGCTACGCCACTGGTATTTCAAACACCATCAGGCTCACCCATGATGGACACGTTTCAGTGGAGCTCCTAGACTAAGACAGACTAGGAAGAAAGGCCTCGTGATCTATGTCCAAAAATCAGCTAATGAAAACCCTATGGATCACAACAGAACATTTTCCCATAAAGTGCTAGAAGATGAGCCCCCTAGGTTGGAAGTCACTCAGAGTACACAGTGGCTGCAGCAATGAACTCCAGCACACCAGTGAGCAGTAAGGTGGTGCAGGGCCAGGCAATGTTTTGTTCTATTGTACATGGGGTCACCATGAGTCAATAGCAGCTAACAACAGCAATATAAAGAGAAACAGAGAATAAATACCAGTTCTTGGTCTGGAGAAAGGAGCCAAGCCTGTTGCCATCGAGTTGATTCCAACTCGCAGCAACCCTACAGGACAGACTAGAGCTGCCCCGGAGGGTTTCCAAGGAGCTCCTGGTGGATTTGAACGGCCAACCTTTTGGTTAGCAGCAGAGCTCTTAACCACTGCGCCACCAGGGCTCCAGAGAAAGGAAGGCTTATCAAATAATCAAGTATGTGAATGGTAGGTGCAGAGATTTAGTCATGAAGTTTTGTAATAATGAAAGTTAGGGGTGTCCCTTCAAGAGTGGAATCAGTACTTTTTCTTTTTTTTGTATAGATAACTCATTCACAGGGTTTAAAATGCAAACATTGTCAAAGGACTTATAAGGAAAGAGCTTCCTCTCACCTGTCTCTCAGCTGCCCCATGCTCCTCTCTCTACTGGGGACCCCGCTGTCCTCCACAGGGGGCCCCACTCTTCTCCACAGGGGACCCCACTCTCCTCCCTCCACAGGGAATCCGTGCCCTCTTTACGTCCTGGGCATGTATTAGGAAACACTTAATGTACATCTAAGCCAGTAGATCTTCATGCCCCACTCATTCAGAGCAAGTGGCGGCACATTAGACGCTCTGCCTGTGGCTTGCTTTGATCCCTCAGCCATTTGTCAGAAAGGGCTCTCCCATTTAGTACATAAATCCTGTTTCCAAATGCACAACAGCCTACTGCAGTTGGGACATCCCATAATCTGTCTAACCAGCTCCTCCTGAAGGGCTTCTCCATACATAGGTTTGGAATAAGGGAAAAGTCGCAAACGGTAACCTTATGGGCTCATTGTCCTCAGAAGTGAGACTGACTGTTGGTAGAAAAATCAATGCAAGGATTAGGATAAGAAAATCTGGGGTGATTGTTAAGGGTGCTAAGGACATCTGGGGTCTCTCCCTAATTTTTTGTATTCATGTCACGGAGGACAACAAGATTGCCCCCCTGTGGTATGTGAGAACCTGGAAGTGACAAGCTGATCATAGAATCAACAGATGTGAAATCAAGCGAGGATCCAGGTGACACTGGAGATCTTTTGGCTGCCTGTCTAATGTCACCTTACCTGGACTGAAATGAACCTAGAAGTAGGGGAGGCTGACAGAAATACCTGCAAAGGACCCGGTGTCCCCAAAGGGACAGTAACTTCATTACAGAAAGTGAAGCTGGGGAGTAACGAACGTGGTGCCTGTCTGGGTGGAAAGGTGTTATCAAGGGGCCCTCTGTGGTGTGTGCTAGGGCTGGGGTCTCTAGCCAGCACTGCACCATCTCACCTTCCCCTCCTGTTAGGATGCGGCATGCTGGCAGTCTTGCTGGTAGCGCTTTTTCTGGAACCAATTCGAGATTCCCAGCAGAAAAGTGAAGGAGAGAAGAAATCACCATTATGGTCCAACTTACTGGCGACTTTCAAGCTCCTGGGAGACAAGCGTCTCCGCCTTCTGATTCTGCTGCCCATGTTCAGTGGCTTCGAGCAGGGATTCCTGGCTGGAGACTACACCAAGGTATGAGAGCGGCAGCCAGGGACGCACAGAACGCATGGCCCGTTACTACAGCTGCTGGGCTGTGACTGAGGACGCAGGGATGCCTTGGGGCCCTACCGGAGGCCGGGAGGTAGGACAGGGGTCCCTGGCTGTTGAAGGTCTCCCCCGCTCCTATGATAGTTGAGTTTATGATTCTAGCTTCCCAGGAGCTTCCAAGGAACTTCCAGCCAAGGCTGTTAACTGGGAAGTTATTACTGAGTCATCACATACAGTAGCTATTTGTGTTATACCTGCCGATGACTCATGCTATATTCTTATTTTAGAGGGAAAAATAGGGGGAAACATTCAAATCCATGGACAGCACTGGAGTTCCTTATTGCTCTAACTTGCAAATATGCATCCCTGTGTAGAAAGAACTCAGTGTGGCCCTCAGGCATACTGCCCCTTCCAGCCATGAGCGCCACCATCTTCCTGCTCTTTGTACGAAGGAGCACCCCTCTCGGGGGCTTGCTGGAGTGGGACAGGAACCCCGGGCACCCCGAGTGCCTCTAGCCCTGGGAGGTTGGCCCAATCAGACCCCAAGCCCTGGTCACCGTCCACCAGGGAGCTGCTTGCTAAGGCCCTCCTGGGGTTCCCAGTGGGGTGGTCTCCTCTCCTGAAGAAACTTCTTAGATGACAAGGGAGGGACACCCCAAAAGTGAGGCTCTTGTCTCCAAAGCCTGTCTCCCCATGGATGAGAGTGGGGATTCTGTCTTCCAAGAAGCACTGGAGTGAGGCGGGGTGTGGTGGGAGCTGAGCAGGAGCTGGCAGGAGCCAAGCAAGGGTGGGAGTGGTTGCCATGTCTCATGGGCCCTTCCCTCTAGGTCTAGTCTGCCCTGATCGAGGAACCCTGTACTGCTTCACCTCCTCTTTCATCCTCTCTACCACAGCAATTCTGCTCCCTCCCTGGGAGGGCTGCCAAGCTAGCAGGATAGAAAATGGGGTGCTGGTTAAATCTGAATTTTAGATAAACAACAAAGATTTTTAGTGTGCACCTGCCCCGTGCAGTATTTGGGCATCCTGGATTTTATCTGGCCCCTGTTCCCAGGGTAGCCCTGATGGGGACTTTGAGAAGTTCAAGAGTCTGAGAAAAATGACAAATCGTCCATGTGGTGTTTTGGGCAAGACCCCTCCACTTCTCCCATCAGACCCGTCACTGACACCCCAACCCGGCAGCCACAGCCTCTGCAGCCAGGATCTGGTGGGAGCCTTGGGGTCCCCTTCCCTCCCTCTGTGGGTCTGTCCTTGGCTGGTGCTCCTGGAGGAAACATGGCCGGCAGATCTGGCACATACTCCTGGTTGAGGGTGCTCAGCCATTTAATGAGGTTGTCGAGGATGCTCACTATTGAGATGTCCTGCCACTTTCTTCCCATCTTCTTTTCATTGTCTGTCTAGTAGGAGATGGTCAGTCCATCAAGAATGGATTCTCTCAGCCCCTGTGTGAAATGACTAAGGTGCCACAGCAGAGGGCAAAGACAGATGAAGAAGAATCTTGTTCAGATCTTTGTCCCAACTATTCCTTCTATGCTCTTGTCCCAGAGGGAGTTCTTCTTAGAAAGGTCAGCCTCACTCTCATACACTGGGAGCTAGGAGGTCAAATCGGTGTGTTGGTTGCCACCCGGCAAACAGTGTTTTTGCATGAACTGTATCCCCTGATCAAAGTCTCCAGAACCCAAACCCAAGCCCTCCCTCTAACGTCTGCTCCTCCCGCCGCAGTCCTACGTCACCTGTGCCCTGGGCATCCATTTCGTGGGCTACGTGATGATCTGCTTCTCGGCCACCAATGCGCTGTGCTCCCTGCTGTACGGGAAGCTGTCCCAGTACACCGGGCGGATCGCCATCTACGTGCTGGGTAGGTGGGGCCGTGGCTGGGCAGCCCTGAGCGTATGCAGTGTGGATGGATGAGGGCAGAGACCAGGGGGGCTCACTGTCTCCCTGTCCATCGATGAGCAGGCTCTAGGCCAGCATGTCTTGGGCCTGAGGACCACAGCGACAGGACTCGGGCAACGAGCTCACTCCAGGGTGGGCGTTTGAGGTGTGGCCGGATGCATGCCACGTCTGCAAATGGTCACAGGAAGGTTCCCATTGGCGTCCCTACACCTACGAGCACTCTCTGTCTCCATGTGGACGGTGGCGGGCACTCATATCCCTGTGGTCTCTCACTTCAGTGTTGTGACTGCAAATGATCACGGGAAGGGTCCCTTTGTGTCACTTCATCTAAGCCCACTCTCTGTCTCCATGTGGATGGTGGGGGGCACCCCTATTCCCGTGGCCCCCCTACACCTGCAAACTCCCTGACCCACCTTTGTGTCCCCACCCCTAAGCTGGCCCATCCCCGTCTGGATGGCAGTGGGTGCTGCATCCCTGCACCCACCCCCGCAACAGGCCACCTCTGTTCCACCTCACTGAACCTGCCACCCATCCCGGTCTCAGGGGGTTGGCGCTCACATCCCTGCCCCTCTCCACAGGCCACCTCTGTGTCACCTCACTGAGCCCGCTTCCCGTCCCTGTCTCAGGGGGGTGGTACTCACAATCCTGCCCCCCCCCACAGGCCACCTCTGTGTCACCTCACTAGGCCCACTGCCTGTCCCTGTCAGGGGGATGGCACTCACAATCCTGCCCCCCCCACAGGCCACCTCTGTGTCACCTCACTGAGCCCGCTGCCTGTCCCTGTCTAGGGGGGTGGCACTCACAATTCTGCCCCCCCACAGGCCACCTCTGTGTCACCTCACTGAGCATACTGCCCGTTCCTGTCTCAGGGGGGTGGTACTCACAATCCTGCCCCCCCCACAGGCCACCTCTGTGTCACCTCACTGAGCCCACTGCCCGTCCCTGTCTCAGGGGGGTGGTACTCACATCTCCCCCACCGCAGGTGCGCTGACCCACTTCTGCTCCATTGCTGCCCTCCTGCTGTGGAAACCATACCCCGACCAGCTGGCAGTGTTCTTCGTCTTCTCTGCCCTCTGGGGCGTGGCGGACGCCGTGTGGCAGACACAGAACAACGGTGAGCCCAGGCCCAGCCCCACCTCCCAGGTGCCCAGCACGGTCCCCTGGGGGTTAGGAGAGCAGGCACCTCAGGGGTGGGGACACTGTCCGCCCAGGGCCCCGTGGGAGTCGGCCAAGGTCCCAAACAAGGACAGTGGGTGCTGGGAAGTGGGACAGCCCATAAGCTTCCATCCCCGACTCTGGGCTTGAGACCTCCCCTCTGAGCATTCATTCAGGCCGAGATGTCAAAAGGTGAGCTCTGTCTCCTTCAGGCAGGGTCTCCTGGCCGTGGGCCTGTCCTGCACATGCAGGGCCAGCTCTGCCTGGAAGGGGCCTTGTGTCCCTGTGGGGACAGTGCCTTCCTGCCTGTCCCCCGCCCACATCAAGAGCATTCTGAGCAGAGTCACGGGGCCCTGGCCAGGGCTGGGGACAGAAGACAAGTAACACTCCAGGGTGCAGCTGCGGGGGGGGCACCACAGGCGGCTCAGCGGGGAGAGGAATCAGCCTTCCGGAAGCGCTGGGTGGGGCGGGGAGAGGGGAGATCAGGAGAGGCTTCTGCAGAGAGGTCAGCTGGACTCAGGCTGGACGTGCCCCATCCTCACCAAACCTTGAGGCTGACCGGGGGCGTGCAGCACAGCCCTGGGCAGGGTGTGGGCGGACAGTGCGCCGGCAGAGGCCCTGAAGGAGGAGGGGAGATTGTGCAGCAGGCCGAGGAGTGTGTCAGGGGAGGTCAGGGGAGTGAGGGGCACCTCCACCACCACCGCGCTCTTGGAGTGAGGGGCAAGGAGGTGCAAGCGGCTTACACTTGGGGGGCCTGACACCGACATGAAGCAAGGAGGCGGAGCAGCTCCCAAGGAAATGATTTACAATGCCAGGGGTTCTTTTTGGTTGTCTGTTTATGTCTTCTACAATGAAACACTGCTTGCCATTAAATCAGCCTGGACTCATGGCACCCCCATGGGTATCGGAGTAGACTTTCACTCTGTAGGGTTTTCAATGGCTGATTTTTTCAGAAATAGATCACCAGGCCTTTCTTCCGAGGGGCCTCCGGGTAGACTCAAACCTCCAGCCTTTTTGTGAGCAACCAAGCACGTTTTGCCATTTGCACCACCCAGGGCCTCCCGCCAGTATTCGTAGAACAGTTGAAAAGCAGTATCTTTCAAAGGACCTAATCCTGTGGGATTTAAGGAATTTGCGTTCCAACCTTTCCTCCCGCCTCAGTCACGCAGGTGGCGTTAGTGACACTCTGTACCCACATGGCTTCTGGCCACGGCCTGGTTTGCCGGGATCAAGGTCAACCGGGTGAAGGGAGGGATGACTGCAACTATCCACATGCGAGCCACACGATATCGTTCAACAGGACAAATACCGAGTCAGCATGGAGAGGAAAACAGAGGCTCACTTCAGCTCTCCTTGGCAGCCCAGATAGAAACCAATGGCACATCCCGTCCCGTGTAGGAATCCTAGGTACCTGACCCGGTAAACACCAGGGCAGAGCCCCCTTCAGCATGCCCGTGGAGACATGAACGGCTCTAAGGTGCTGTCCCGTCAAACCCATGTGACCATGTGACAAAACAGAACCGCCTCATAGGGTTTTTTTTTTTTTTTGGCTGTAACCTTTACGGGAGCAGATCGCCAGGCCTTTCTCTCGCGGAGCTGCTTTCTCCTTTTGGATAACAGCCTAGCATCTAACCATTGCACCACAGGGCTCCTTGGAGGTATGAAAGGTGCTCAGAATTTTACTGAACTCTGCAAATGCATCTGCCAACCCACTACCTCAAATGCAACTGGCTTCTCTGAATGCATTTGATTGTTAAAAATCATCTCCGTCTTAAAGTAAAACGAAGACTGAAACGAACAGCCATCCGCTACTCCATGCTGTAATTCTCTAGGTGTTTCAGACGGTTGCCATCAAGAGTGCTTGGTTTTCTCTCCCTGAGATATCTAACAACTGCTTTAGCTCGCCTTTTCCTTCTACAGCCAAAGGATACTCTGGGCAAAGCCTTAGTCAAAAGTGTACAAATAAGGTACTGAAGGGTAAATGAATATATGACTTGAATAAGGGCAATGAAATGAAAATGCATTAGTTGTCTTTTTGTGCGGATAAAAAGTAAATATTTTATTTCAAGGACAAAAGAGTTGTTGGGGGAAATTTTTCTTCTCATACGTTTGAGAGTTTCGTTTGGAGTCTGTACCTTCCGTTGTCCCAGCCGGGGGTGGCGTCTTCATGACGGAATTCCCTGCAGGCGGGCTCTGTGGGGGCCTTCATTCAGCACCACACATTCATGAAATCTCTGTCTTTTAAAAACTGGACATTTCAAGTGGCTTTCGCCACACATCACAAGAACAGTTTTGCCTCATTTTATTGCAAATAGCAAAGTGGATTTCTAATCTTATTCTCCTTGAATGCGCGCCTTTCCCTGAAGAAAGCACTTGGGCCACATGCTGTCTTAATCAGCAGAACAGAATGAAACCCAGAGCGGTCTAACCCCCTCCTCAGTCGTCACTTCTCAGTTTAGAGGCTGATGATTTACCGCTGTCCGCCTTGGAAGCCATGATGGCTCAGCCCTCCGTCCCCCCTCCTGGGGCAGAATTATCAAATTTGGGCCTTGCTGTTTCCCACTGGGTGCTAGGGATGTCTTGGGCCTTTGGAACGGCAGAGCTGTGCCAGTAACTCCTGTTTATTCTCTCTGCCGGCAGAGAAAAGATGCGCACAACCCGTACACACCACTACACAGCATTTAAGATGCAAAATGGCCCATCTAAAAACCTCTTTTGCCCTGTTAGCTGCAAAGGGGCTGTCTGAGGGTTGATAGACTCCAATCATCTGACTTCCCTTACTTTCTGGCACTCCAAGACATTCCAGGCTCATCTTGTATTTTTCCTGCTCCAGCTGTAGAATAAGCTGCTTTTCTAAAGAGCCCAAGTCCTTTTCATTGGAGGGTGGTATTAGAAACCAAAAACTGGGCACTGGGTGTGCTCACTGCTACTGAGTTTTTGTTGTTCCTATGCCCTGTGGTGGACAGAGTGAGAAAATACATGTGTGTATGCTAATCAGGTGCACACATATCCATACTTATTCCTGTATCTATCTGTCTGTGTGTATTGCAATAAATATGGGTGCTGTATCCAACTCTCATCCAGCAACTCAGGATTCATTCTAGTCTTCCCCTTGCTCCTCTGCATCTTCTTTCTCTGACAGTGAGTACCTGGCTCCCACTATGTATACAAATACATGTGTATTTGCTTATTTGTTTAGCCCTCATACACGTGAAAAGTAATTTCAGAATTATTGCATTATTGTCAATCTACATTCCTTTCCTTTTTAATGTCTGTCCTCTCCAGGTGCCATGCCATTAACCGTTGGTACTTCAGTGGATTTTGACATAATAAATATGTTGCTTTCTTTATGTTTGAGTTAAAATAGGAACCAAATCGAGGAATTTCCTGAAAAGCCTGATCTGTTTGTTTGTTATGAGTGGCTTTGGGCATTGCCTTCTTTAGGCTGGGCCTGAAGTCACACGTGCATAGTCCTGTTGTTGTGGTTAGGTGCTGTCAAGTTGGTTCCAACTCACAGTGACCCTATGCACAAAAGAAACAGATGCATGGTGGTGTGTATTCCTAAAAGGGGGAAAATGGAGTTTCGCCAGATTTCCTTCTCCACATTTTCTTGAAAGATGGCTCCTGTAGCCCACATCAGGGTCTCTTTTCTGCCAGCTGGGTTCCAACTTCCTCTGGACAGAGCCAGACTTAGGAAGGAGGAAGGAGAAAAGGGTCTTTACTCTTTTATTTTTATTACTGTTATTGAAAACATACACAGCAAAACATACTCCAACTCAACAGTTTCTACAAGTACGGTTCAGTGACATTGATTACATTTTTCAAGCTGTACAGCCATTCTCACCTTCCTTTTCCAAATTGTTCCTCCCCCATGAACATAAATGTATTGCTCCCAAGCTTCCAATCTAAACTTTTGGGTGGCTACTGTCTGTTTGATCCCATACGTATAGTTCTTTAAAAGAGCACAATGCCCAAGGCAGACATTCTTTACTCATTAAGTTAAACTGTTCTACTCTGTCCTATAGGGTCACTGTGAGTTGGAATCAACTAAACAGCAAAGGAGTTTGGGTGTTGGGTTTTTTTTTCAGTTGTTTGGTTTAAAGAAGACTTTAGGGGATATTTCTGGTTTGAGGCTTAAAGATTTTCTCAGGGCAGTAATTTCAAGGGTCCATCCACCCTCCATGGCTCCAGAAAGTTTAGATTCCCTGAGAATTTCAAATTCTGTTCGCATTTTTCTTCTTTTGATCAGGATTCTCCTATAGAATCTTTGATCAAAATGTTCAGTAATGGTAGCTGGGCACCATCCAGTTCTTCTGATCTCATGGCAAAGGAGGCAGTTGTTCAGGAAGGCAATTAGCCACACATTCCATTTCCTCTCCTTATTCCTCACTCTCCTTCTTGCTCTGTTGCCCCGCGCAAAGGGTCCTCACTATTGTCCAGTTGCCATGCATATCTTCTTCTGCCTCATCTGTTCTGTTGTAGGGCCAGAGGCACCGCCCACTTTCCAGCTAACTTCTGCCTCTCAAGTCTTGACATGCTGAGAACTCCTCCTAGGTTATTCTGAACACAGGGTGTGAGGTGACAGGTATTCTAGTCCTCTCCTCCCCCTTCTTGTGTCTGCTTCCTCGTGATCAAACTTCCCAGTCACACTCAAGAATTTCCAATTCCTCATTTGGCATCTAAGACAATTAAGGCCCAGAAAAGCTAAATTTATGAAATAAACTCACATGTTTAAAAGCACATGGCTACGTAAGAAGCTGATCTACACTCGAGGAGACCAGCACTGGATCAAGAGAGATAGGGGGTGAGTTCCCTTAGCTGAGGGGCACAGGGATTTATAAGCATCTGCAATCTAAATTTAATCTTGAAATGTCTGAAAGGTACTAGCCTATAAACCGAAAAAGTACTTAAAATTGCCCATAAAAAAAAAAAAAAAAGTTGCCATCGAGTCAACTCCAACTCATGGCAAGCCATGTGTGTCAGAGTAGAACTGTGTTCCACAGGATTTTCAGTAGCTGATTTTTCAGAAGTGAATCACCAGGCCTTTCTTCCAAAGTGCCTCTGGGTAGACTCCAAGCTGCAACTTTTTGGTTAGCAGCAGAGCACTTTTTGCACGTATTGTTGGAATAGTCATCAAATTGTCTGCATCTTTTCTGTTACTACAAACTGCTAAGGATGCAGTAGAACACTTTTGCCATAGAAAATGAAATAAGCTACCACTTCCAGCCACAGCCTCTCAACTCAAATTTCCTTCCTTAGAACCTTGTGTTTGGATTCAGTTAAGAGTCATTCTCAAAAGAAAGATACAGAGTTTTTGGAATAATATCAGAAGCTGATGAAACCCAAGGATTTTGTTGTTCGGTTCTCTTTGAACCTTTCCTTTGCGGAATTTCAGACATGAAGGATATCTTCTGAGAGTTCCAAAAATCTTCTTGTTTCCCAGATTACATATTCTGCTTAAAAATTGGAGACCACCCCAGCTACTTCAGAATGATAAAAGGAATTAAAGGAATCAGGGGCCATATTTGCTGGTAGCTGAAATTTTATGAGTTATTTCACATAAAAACCAATTAATAAACACCAAGACCATCTGATATTCATCAGTCCCTTTAAACACAGAGAAAGGTTGTTTAAAACTTCTTTTAAAACCACAACAACATGCTCAGGATAGGGAGATAAAACAGACCTCTCTTGGACTTGTGAATAAATGCCCGTTGTTGGAACGCGCTCATGCGGCCGTGCAGGGAGAAGGACTGTGAGGGATGATCTGCTAGCTTGTGTGACCTGTGGGGAGACCCGAGCGTGTTACTGCTTCTAGGCTGAAAGGAAGGTGATAACGGGAAGCGTAAGATGAAAGGAAGACTCTCAACAAGATGGACTGACACAGGGCTGCAACAGTGGGCTCAAGCACAGCAATGATGATGAGGATGGCGCAGGACCGGGCAGTGTTTCATTCTGTTGTACATGGGGTCACTATGAGTCGGAATCGACTCAATGGCACCTAACAACGACAACAACAAGGTGGAAGGGGCAGGAGAGGGGCTTTAACTGTGGAGACGAGGTGGGCCTGTTGCACAAGTGGGCGCCCTTTCTGGCCGTGGTGGAGGACATACAGGTGGGAAGAGCTTGTGGTGGCAGCTTAGGAAGGTGAGGGCATCCTGGTGGAGAAGGCAGGCCCACCAGCCAAGAGGAGGCAGGGCGGAGTGGGTGGCTCAGGGAGGTGGCGCAAGGTGGACTCATCGGAGGCCTGGAAGTCACCGTGATGCTGTGATGGTCCTCAGGAACCAATGTCTTTATTGCTTGCACCCAGGACACATGGAGTCCCATCTAGTTATATCAACAAATTCACTAGGCTGCAAAGACAAGCAATAAGTAATTTACTCTCACCTGAAAGAATTTATTAGATTAGGTCATTTCTCTTCCAGACCTTTAGGAAACCACTTGTAGGTTCTTCAGTACTAGTCTTTTGTTGTTGTGTGCCATCAAATTTATTTTTGACTCATAATGACCCCATGTGACAGAGTAAAACTGCCCCATAGGGTTTTCTAGGCTGTAATCTTTATGGGAGCAGATTGCAAGGTCTTTCTCCCATAGAACCACTAGGTGGGTTTGAACTGCCAACATTTCGGTTAGCAGCTGAGTGCTTAACCATTGTGCCACCAGGGCTCCTTGTTGTTAGTTGCCATCAAGTTGGCTCAGACTCATGACAACCTTATGTATAACAGGAGGAAAGGTTGCCTGGTCCCTTGCCATCTTCATGATTGTTGGCATGTTTGAGTCCGTTGCTGAGGCTATCATGTCAATCCATCTCATGGAGAGTGTCCCACACTTTCACTGACGCTGCACTTTACCAACCATGATGTCCTCTTCTAGCAACTTGTTTTTCCTGATGATGTATCCAAAGGGAGCAAGACGAAGTTCTTGCTGTCCTGGCTACTAAGGAACATTCTGGCTGTCCTTCCTCCAAGACTGATACTAGCCCTTTAATGCTGGTTAACTAACACTAGTCCTTTCATCCAGGTCATGGGTGGGAGTACCTTTGACATTGGAGCATTGTTTGGTTAAGCTCATTGTCTTAGTTTCCTAGTGCTGCTGTAACAAAAAAATACAAGTGGGTGGCTTTAAGGAACAGAATTGTATTGTTGTCTCACAGTTTTGGAGCTAAAAGTCCATCCAAATTTAGGGTGTCTAGGATGGTGATTCCTTCGGTGAGCCTCTCCCCCAGCTCCTGGTGACTGCCAGTGATCCTTGTTGTTGTTCTAGGCTTATGGACTCATCTTCCCCGGTGTGTGTCTGTGTGTCTCTGCTGTTATCTTTATAAGACATCTCTCAGACATGATTGCACACACTCTACTCCAGCATCACCTCATTAACATAAGAAAAGAAAATCCCTGTTTCCAAATAGTATCGTATTTATAGGTACAGGAGTTACTGTTGTTGTTAGGGGCTGTCAAGTTGATTTTTGACGCATAACTTTTTGGAAAACACAATTCAATCCATCACACTGTTTCTCTCCTAAAGTATCTAGGATAGGAATGAAAGTTCCACACAACAGTAATTTCACTGACTCTGCTGCTGCCATCTGAAAATCCTGAGGTTGAGGTCCTCTATCTACTAGCTAGTGTACATGTTTCTGAAAGCATTCCCTAAATGAAGGACACATTCCCAGATATAATTGTGACTTTTGCCTGTCTTCATTTTTGAACTCTAATGAATGGCCATGCCTCACCCTGGGCCAGTCCTGTCTGTAAGCTTTGCTTTTCTCATCTACAGAGTGAGGGTCTGGGCCTAGATGTCTTCGAGCACTAACATCTCATGTTCAAAACCAAACCCACTGCTGTGAAGTCAATTCTGACTCATATTAACACTAAGGGACAGAGTAGAACTGCCACATAGGGTTTCCAGGGCTGTAAATTTTTACGGAAGCAGGCTGGTGGGTTCAAACCACTGATTTTTCGGTTAGCAGCCAAGCACTCCTTCATCTCATCGTTCTATGTTAATTATACATATGTTGGTTCTTCACTGCTAGGGAATGTGACCTGACTTGCTATATTCTGCATCATGAAATAATTCTGTTTTTCAAAAAAGAAAAGGTTCTGATTTGGTTGAGGAAATGGGGCTGGGAAAGTAACACTATTTTCAGCAATAATTAAAAAGCTTGTGTCTAAGGTTTGCTTTCAGCGTTTTCACTCCAGTGTCTCCTTTGCAGCTCTTTACGGCACTCTGTTTGAGAAGAACAAGGAGGCTGCCTTTGCGAATTACCGCCTGTGGGAGGCACTGGGGTTTGTCATTGCATTTGGATACAGCACATATTTATGTGTCTACACCAAACTCTACATCCTGCTAGGAATACTGATTGTGACCATGGTGGCTTACGGAACTGTTGAGTGTCTGGAGTTCAAGACCCAGATCAAGCCACTTGCTAAAGAGCAGACAAATCAAGCACAGGAAGAAGAAGAAATGCAAACAAAAATGTGACAGCAACAACTGTCGTGGCAGATGAACTAAGAAAATATCAGCAAGAGTATTTTATTTGAAGATGTCTCAGAGAATACAGGTGATTCTTCACTATTCAGCAATATTTTGCCATTCTGAAGACCTTATGTAATTTCATTGTCCATGTGATATTTTTTTCTATTATAACAAATTATCAGTCCACTGTATTGTCCATAGAGATTAAAGGTATGTATGCAGGTATCAATTAGTTTAATCTCAGATATGAGCTTTTACAAGGGAAAGAAACTCAGGGTGAAATCAGCCAATTAGAACTTGCTTAGAATTGTAGAATTATACTTGTTTCTGTTGTTGTTATTATTGTTGCTATTTTTAAGAAGTGAAATACTGCTTAAAATAATGTAGTTTAACACCATAATTTTACAGATGAATAAACTGATATCCATGGAAGTCAATTAGCTTTACCTCACAAAGTCAGTAGGTGCAAAGCTGAGACTAGCATTTATGACTCTTGAAATTTATAGAGTATGAGTTTCTAAATAAATGCAATTTATATTATGGACTCCCTTCCTGTCCAAATATTTTTATTCTAAATCCTCATCTGGATCACACACACAAAATGATTTCATCAAATAAGTGATTTAGAGTGTTGTAGGTCATTGGATGGTGCAAACAGTGAACTCACTCAGCTGCGTACTGAAAGGTTGGAGGTTTGAGTCCACTCAAAGGTGCTCGGAAGAAAGGAACCCTGCGGAGCACAGTTCTACTCTAACACACATGGGGTCACCATAAGTTGGAGTTGACTTCAAGGCGAAAGTTAAAGCTAGATCATTGGAGGTCTTCAAGAATAATTTCAACTAGGATGTTTTATGTAAGCCTATTAACATGATAAAACTAGGATATTTTATGTGAGCCTATTAACATATTTGTTATATGTTATATGTCCGTCCTTACAATCAAAGCCCACATTCATCATGACAACCATCCTTTCTCATCCCTCATCTTCTTTAACAGCCCTGTGGCGCTGGTCGTGCACCAGCCCTGTGGTGCTGGTAGTGCCGTCCACTGCCTCCTTCTTGGACCCTTCTTCACTTTTCACTCTCACGTCCTCTGGTACCTCTCCATTGTGTGATTGTCCACCATTTTGTCAGCTGATGTGATTTTCCTATGTGTTGTAAATCCTATCTCTATGATGCTGATGAGGCGGGATTATCAGCAGTTATGTTAATGAGGCAGGACTCAGTCTACAGGATTGGATTATGTCTTGAGCCAATCTCCTTCGAGATATAAAAGAGAAGCCAGCAGAGAAACATGGGGACCTCACACCATCAAGAAACAAGAGCCAGGAGAATAGTGCATCTTTTGTACCCAGGGTCCCTGCGCTGAGAAGCTCCTAGACTCCCTGTTTTGCACTCCCTGTTTTTTGTTCCTCTTTTTTCCTTTCGCCCCAGGATGCTTTCGTTCACCTTTCCCTCTCTAGTCCACACCTCTTCCCCCAGGCTTCCACTAGTCCTGTGTGAAGACGACTCTGTGTGCATGTCCTTCTTGTTTCTCCCTTGGCTCTGTGGACAGTCCTCTACTGGCCCCCAGCCTCCACCCAGCCTGGTGTTCCTCCAACCCTGAGCACAGCTCCCATCAGGTCATAAAACCAAACCAGTTGCCATCGAGTAGACTCCCAACTCATGGCGACCCCTCTTGTGTCAGAGTAGAACTACATTCCATAGGGTTTTCAAGGCAGTGACCGTTCAGAAGTAAATTGCCAGGCCTGTCTTCCAAGGTGCTTCTGGGTGGGTTTGAACCTCCAACCTTTTGGTTAGCAGCTGAGCACGTTAACTGTCTGTCCTACCTAGGGATGCCCTGTGCACTTTAGGGTTTCTCTTTCCCTGACCTCTAACCCCCAGGCTGTCAGCCCTCCTCAGATGCCCAGGACCCACCCCAAGTCAGCCAGTCTGGGGAGCCTGGGCACCAGCATTGCTTGAAAGCTCCCCAAGTATCTGAAGGTGTAGCCAGTATGAGAGCCTTACCTGTCATTGCTGTTTTAAATCCTGTTTCTCTGTTCTTGCAACAGCTCGCTCACACAGCTGTTTCATATAAAGCCCATTTTAAAGAGCTGAGAATTAAAAAAAAAATATTATCATGGTAATATATATAGAGAGAGGGAGACAGCCTGGTGGCAGTGATTAAAGAGCTTGGTTGCTAACTGAAAGGTTGGTGGTTCAAAACCACCAGCACTCCATGGGAGAAAGTCATGGCAGTCTGCTGCCATAAAGATTACAGCCTCAGAAACCCTACGGGACTGTTCTACCCTGTCCGATAGGGTCACTATGAGCCAGAACTGACTCGACAGCAATGAATTGTATATATACATAAATACATAAATATTTTGTAAAAAGTTTGCCATTTTATCCATTTGTAGGTGCACAATTCAATGATATTAATAACATTCACCGTCTTGTGCAACCATCACCACTATCCATTTTCAAAAGGTTTTCATCACCCAGACAGAAACTCTGCACTCGTAACCAATGGCTTCTATTCTCCCTCCCCCAGCCCTGGTAACCATGAATAAACTGTCGTCTCTCTGCATTTGCCTAGCCTAGATATCTCATATAAATGGGATCATACAACATTTGTCCTTTTGTGGAAAAAAAGGTTGAGAAAAAAATAATTTCTGGGATTAAAGATCATTATTATTAAAGATTATTATTATTACTGCAGTTCAGGACTGTGACATCCCAGGACTCCATTGCCCCTTGGATACCGTGAGACAACATTTGAAAAACAATTCCTCTAACATCCAGACAAACAGCAAAACTCCAGTCCTAAATATATCACCATCCTAACTGCCATAACTGGGCTGCCCAGACCTCCGGGACAAACTCAGACAACTTGGTGGTTGACATCTTAGTAAATCCGGGTCTCCAGCCTCAGCCAGGCCCTCAGTGCTGAGTAACTATACCTGTATATTTCCCAGCCTGGCAAACCTGTCCCCTCCTCAGCCCTCAGTGGGGGACACAGATTCCTACTTCAAGCCACCAGGTGGGGACTCTCCACTTCTGTCTATGTCCCTTCCAGATACACCTACATCCTGAGTCCCACTCAGTCATTCTTCAGGCTGAATCCTGTTTCTCACTCACTACCCTGCTTGACAATTGTTATTGTGTCCCTCCCCCAACCCACACACAAAAATATGTTGAAATCATAATCTCCAGAACCTTAGAATGTGACCTTATTTGGAAACAGGGTCTTCGAATATGTCATCAGTTAATATGGGGCCATACTGGTAGGTGCTAATCCAATATGATTGGTGTCCTTATAAGAAGACACACAGAGAGACACACAGGGACAAGGCCATGTGAAGATGGGGGCAGAGATTGGAGCGATGCAGCTACAAGCCAAGGAACGCCTGGGACCACCAGAAGCTGGAGAGATAGGAAGGACCTTCCTCCAGTGGCTCTGGAGACAGCATGGCCCTGCCGACATCCTGAATTCTGACTTCTGGGCTCCGGAACTGTGAGACCACAAATTTCTGCTCTAATAAGCCCCCCAGTTTGTAGCACTTTGTTACAGCAGCCTGGGGACACTCATAGAACAACTAGCTTCTCCTTTTGCATCTTCAGTAGCACCCCCTCCCATGGCCCTCATACAAAGAGCCCCACAGAAACATGTCCCTCATGGCCTGAGCCTGGGGCCAGCCCTGACCTCCTCTGCACCTCAGCCCAGCTTCCAATCTGCCTCCAGCTCCAGGAGATGCTAGTTTTCAAATTTTCCAAATCTCTCCTTTCCCCATGGTCACTGTTGGTTCATAACCAAATCAACAGTCTTTCTAAAGGTTAAGAATGACGTGATAAACAGTCCCCTCCTCACAGCTCATCAATGGCTCCCCATTTCCTCCAGGATAAAATCCAAACAAGGAACCCTGGCACACAGGGCTCTTCATGACTCGGTCCACTCTTTGCCCCATATCCCTGTATTTTCCCCCAAAATATAAATTTCTCTTCTATCTCTATCTTTGCATTTCTGGCTGTTTTATTAAAATCCCCTTCCCCTTCCCCCTCCTCATTGCCCGGATAACTAATTCAACCCTCAAAATTCACTCATTCTGGGTGTCTCAGCTATCTAGTGCTGCCATAACCGAAATACCACAAGTGGACGGCTTTAACAAACAGAAATTTATTCTCTCATAGTCTAGGAGGCTACAAGTCCAAATTCAGGGTGCCAGCTCCAGGGGAAGGCTGTCTCTCTCTCTCTCTGTTTGCTCTGGGGGAAGGTCCTTGTCATCAATTTTCTCCTGGCCTAGGAGCTTCTCAGCACCCAGACCCTAGGTCCAAAGGACGTGTTAGTCTCCTGGCTCTTGTTTCTTGGTGGTATGAGGTCCCCTGTCTCTCTGCTCGCTTCTTTCTTTTATATTTCAAAAGAGATTGGCTTAAAACAAACCTAATCTTGTAGATTGAGTCCTGCCTCTTTAACACGATAGAGGTAGGATTTATAGTGCATAGGAAAATCACATCATACGACAAAAAAGTGGACGATCACACAATACTCGGAATCATGGCCTAGTCAAATTCACAGATACTTTTGTGGGAACGCAATTCAATCCATGGCACTGGGAGGCCTTTTTAAAACTGCCCTCCGCCCCACTGGCAGCAACCCCACCTGGGTGAGATGACCTCTTGAAATGTGCCAGAACATTCTGTCCTTACCGCCATCCTGGCACTTAAAATTCTTCCCTGTAGTAACCCAGAACTTTGTCTGTTGCCCCAGAGAGTCTGAGGGTGAGAAGTTGGGTAGATAGCACTGCTGAGAGAATATCTCAGTCTGGAGGAGGAGTCTGGTGGGGTTCCTCATCCTTAGCTCTCCATTCTTCCCTCCCACTCGCTTTCAGCGCCCTTCAAGGGGCAGGAGACTCAGAAAGAAACCTGTTCCCAGGGGGAATGGTGATGGTGAGAAAGCCCCCTGGGGGCACTGCCTGGTTCTCAAGAGAGCTTTTCACAGGGCCAGCCAGGCTCCTGTGCCCTGGTGATCACCTGCCCTGGGCCTGGTCCAATCCTCCAGCTTCCTGAGGCGAGAACAAGGGCGGCCATACAGCGCCCCCTGGAGGGCAGGGCTGGTCACCACGGCCTCAGCAACTGTGGGCAGGGCCGTGTCCGACCCACTCAGCAGTGTGACCTGGTGTGTTTAAAGTGCTGTTTCTGCCCATAGTTGTAGATGTTGCCAGGTCACGTTTCCTTTGGCTCAGCGCCAACTTATTGTCTCTTTTATAAGACACCGTAAATCTGACTCTCAACACAACGCTCCTTCACCTTGAGTCTTTAGCCACTCTGTTTACAAAACTAGAACAAAGCAAAAAACCCTGCGGCTTATCTGTCAGGCTGCTTCAGAGGGTAAAGTCTTTACCCAGGAATTCAAAAGCCACTTATTTCTGTCCTCGAGTAGCATCCCCCTCTTCTGGCGTCTTGTATGCAGCGGGAAGCATTCCCTGACCCGAGAATCCTGCTTTCCTCCCAGTTTCCAGCAGTGCCGGCTTCGCACTTCTTCATCTCCCGCCATTGCCCTGAAAGATAATCAATGACAGCAACAGAGACTTTGACAATGTGGCCAAGAAACCTATCAAGAGTTCGGATTGCACTAATGGGTTCCAGTGCGAGAATGACACGCCCAGTGTATCATGAAGTCCGTGAGTGAAATTCTGAGAAGAGCATAACCTCCTTACAGAAAAACAAATTCAGGAAAGTTTGCCTTTAATAGAGAGCTGCAGCTCTTCCAACACTGATTTTGGCAAGAAATCCAGTGCCACTACAGTGGCCCTTGGCCAGCCCTCTCCCCTGTCACCCTCCTCTCTTCTCCCCCAGCCCCGCTCCCCTCAGGCTCCATCCACAGCACGGTTTCCAAGGAGACCGTCCTGGCTTCTGCTCTGCTGGCAGCCTGTCCTTCGTCTGAACCCTAATCCTTGAGCTTCCATGCTCAATCCCAACAAATCCCAAGCTGTCATTCTGCCCTCAACAGTTGACTTCACACATGGAAGTTCCCGAGTAAGTAAATTAGAATGTGTTGGTTCATTCACTTAACAAGCGTTTATTAAGCACTTGCTGCATGCCAAACATTGTTCTAGGTGTGATCACTACAGCAGTGAATAAAACAGCAGTGTCCACTCTCCAAAAACTTTATTCTCAACAAATCATGTGTGACGGGTCCATCGGTGATAAGTGGTGTGAAGAGCAATAACGTAGCTAAGGGCATCAAGAGAGGTGACCATGCCCTGGTGGAGGGAAATGGCTGCTTTAGGTAGGGTGGATGTGTTAATAGTGGCCTGAGAGACAGAGGAAGAGAACCACGAGCCGACCGGCAGAACAGAGCCCCGTCAGATAAGCTGTAAGTGCCAATGGCCTGAGGCAGCCAGGGCCCAGCAAGCCTGCAGTGCAGTGTGGAGTGAGACCATGGTCAGAGATGGGGCCGGAAAGGAGCAGGCCTGAGGATATGCCCCAAAGACGTGACAGCAGAAACTCAGATATCGCTATTCATAGCAGCATTATTCACAACCGCCAAAAGCCAGAAACAATCCAACAGACAAATGGATAATCAAAATGTGTGTATCTATACGATGGAATATTACTCAGCCATAAAGAGAAACGAAGTCCTGACACATGGAATGACATGGGTGAACCTTGACAGCATGATGCTGAGTGAAGTAAGTCAGACACGAAGGGGCAGACAGAGTGTGACATTAGGAAATACGTCACTTGCCCAAAGGATCTAGAGGAGGCACGCGTACAGAGACCGAAGGAGAAGAGAGGCTACGAAGGCTCGGGGCGGGAGAGAACTGGGATTTAGTGGTTAGCGGGTTCAGAGTTCCTACTTCGGGCGATGGTAAAGTGTGGGAAATAAATTGTAACGACGGTTGCAAAAACAAACAGAAAACAAAAGAAAGGGGTCCAGGCCAGATGACGTCCAGAGAAGGACTCAGGCAAGGATTTTAGATTTACTCTGAGCAGCGTGGCGACCACCGGAAGACTTTGATCAGAGGGGTGATGGGATATGATTTCACCTTTAGAAGGACCACTCTGGACACTGTGTGGAGGACATGGCCGTGGTGGCAGTGGAGGTGGTGAGACAGGGGCAGGTCTGGGATATTCTTGCCCTGGGAGCACAGTGTGCAAGCGTTCGGCTGCTAATAGAAAGATTGGTGGGTTGAAACTACCCAGCGGCTCTGTGGGAGAAAAGACCTGGAAATCCGCTTCCATAAAGATTACAGCCTAGGAAACCCTATGGGGCAGTTCTACTCTGTCACATGGGGTCGCTATGAGTTGGAATCGACTCAATAGCACCCAACAACCACATACAGGAGGTGCTGGTGGTGGGCGTAGAGAAGGAGAGCCAAGGAAACCTCTAGAAGTTTGGTTCCACAAAGAACTGGAGGAATGAAGCCGCTGTTGAGATTGGGGAAGACTCACAGGGGAGCAGATCTGTGGGGTAAAAACACAAGAGTTTGGTTTTGGACACGTTAATTTCTATATGTTACTAGATACCTAAGTGGTTTTGCTGAGTAGCAGTTAGATGTTGTTGTTAGCACTGTTGAGTCAGTTCTGAATCACAGTGACCCCGTGGACAACAGAACGAAACACTGCCCGGTCCTGCACCATCTTCGCAATCATTATCATGCTTGAGCCCATCGTTGCCGCCACTGTGTCAATCCGTCTCATTGAGGGTCTTCCTCTTTTTCACTGACCCTCTACTTTACCAAGCATGATGTCCTTCTCCAGGGACTGGTCCCTCCTGATAATGTGTCCAAAGTACATGAGACGAAGAGGTATGTTTGTTCTTCTGGCAGTCCGTGGTGTATTCAATATTCTTCACCAAGACCATAATTCAAAGGCATCAATTCTTCTTTGGTCTTCCTTATTCACTGGTCAGCTTTCACATGCATATGAGGTGATTGAAAATACCATGGCTTGGGTCAGGCCCACCTTAGCCCTCAAAGGGACTTCTTTGCTTTTCACACTTTAAAGAGGTCTTTTGCAGCAGATTTGCCCAATGCAATGTGTCCTTTGATTTCCTGACTGCTGCTTCCATGGGTGTTGACTGTGGATCCAAGTAAAATGAAATCCTTGACAACTTCAATCTTTTCTCTATTTATCACGATGTTGCTTATTGATCTAGTTGTGAGGATTTTTGCTTTCTTTATGTTGAGGTGCAATCCATACTGAAGGCTGTTATCTTTAATCTTCATCAGTAAGTGACTCAGGCTCTCTTTGCTTTCAGCAAGCAAGGTTATATAATCTGCATATTGCAGGTTGTTAATGAGTCTTCCTCCAATCCTGATGCCACGTTCTTCTTCATATAGCCAGCTTCTTGGATTATTTGCTCAGCATACAGACTGAATAAGTTTGGTGAAAGGATACAATCCTGATGCATACCTTTCTTGATTTTAAACCACACAGTATCCCCTTGTTCTGTTCAAACAACTGCCTCTTGATTTATGTACAGGTTCCTCATGAGCACAGTCAAGTGTTCTGGAATTCCTATTACTCAAAATGTTATCCATAATTTGTTATGACCCACACAGTCAAATGCCTTTGCATAGTCAATAAAACATAGAAACACATCTTTCTGGTATTCTCTACTTTCAGCCAGGATCCATGTGACATCAGCAATGATACCCCTTTGGCTCTCAAGGACTCATTCTAATTTTCTTCAGTTTCAACTTGAACTTGCATATAAGTAATTGATGGTCTGTTCTGCAGTTGGCCCCTAGCCTTGTTCTGACTGATATGGAGCTTTTCCATCATGTCTTTCCACAGATGTAGGTGATTTGATTCCTGTGTATTGCATCTGGTTAGGTCCACGTGTACAGTCGCCATTTATGTTGGTGAGAAAAAGTATTTGCAATGAAGAAGTCGTTGACCTTGCTTCTGGTAGGTGGAATTATTTTCCCATCAACCACGAGCCTGGGGGAGAGGACTGAGGTATAATAAAAAAGTTAAAATTAAAATTTGGCATACTGGTTCAGAGTTTCCTTGCACTTCACATTAGAGATTCAAGCATCAAAATGCACCTAGCGTCCTCTTGATTCTCACAGGGCAGGTATATGCTTCGGCACTGAGTGGGCACTTACATTTGAAGCTGGGGACAGACATACATTATAAAATGGTGGACGTTGGTTAAATCCACGAGCCAAGTCCACACAACAGAATCTAGAGAGCCCCAAAGAGTGTGTGTCTCAGCCGGAAGCTGAGAGGCAAGGCAGTCTCAGACCAATGCTGCTCAGGGAGCTGGTGTGCTCTGCTCACAACGTCCAAAACCTGTGAGGTCAGACACTGGGGGCTTAAGCCATTGCTAAGGCTGCCCGTATCTGAGAGCTATGGAGAACCAAGCCAGTCGGAGCTCAGGGCCCACTGTGAAATCCAGAGAAATACTCAAAAGGAGGCAGAGAAGTCTGGGGAAGTGTATTTGCTCATAGTACTCATCTTGGAAATGCCGTACGTTTCATATGGTAAGTCCACACCGTGGGATCTCTGTCAGTCAGAGCAACTCGACAGCGGTGGGTCTGATTTCTGGTTAAGCCCACACCATGGGGTTGCTGTGAGTCAGATCAACTCGATGGCGGTGGGTCTGGTTTTTGGTTAAGCCCACACCACGGGGTCGCTATGAGTCAGATCAACTCGATGGAGGTGGGTCTGGTTTTTGGTTAAGCCCACACCACCGGGTCGCTGTCAGTCAGGTTGCCTCGACAGCAGGGGGTCTGGTTTTTGGTTAAGCCCACACCACGGGGTCGCTAGGAGTCAGGTTGCCTCGACAGCAGGGGGTCTGGTTTTCGGTTAAGCCCACACTGCCTTTCCCTTATCGTTGGGTAACAGCAATCTGCTCAACTCGGTAGCTGGTCTCTTCTTTCTCAGCCCAGACATCTAAGCAGAGAGTGAGCATGGAATCTCTCAGGCTCACATGAACCTCTCAAATTGAAGGGGAAAATTAAACTCAGGATTTATAAATCACTGAACTCAATAATCCGGGCCGAGACACCCTTACTCATGTCTGGGTTACCTTCTGCAACTGTGTACACCACTCAAAGAAAATACTTGCCAAAGCCACCCTCCACTTCCTGCTCAAGGAGACAGTCAGAGCAGGAGAACTTAATTACACTTGGTTTTCACAGAATTTACCAGCATGTATGGCTGGAGGTCACCAATAATTAATGACAAGCACAAGTGTCAAACCAGAAAGAAACGTTCCATCCAGGTGCCATTATGAATTCCTTCCATTCTGGGCTTGCTAATTAGAAAATCCGCACTGTTTCCCTCTTGCTGGGTCTCACCGAGTCAACATCTTCGACTGCTGTGTTGTGCAGTTTTTATACAGTCCACGAAGCAAGTGATTGTTCTTGAAAGATTATAGCATTGCCTGTAATTGAATTGTTGTTGTTAGGTGCCGTCGAGTCGGTTCCGACTCATAGCGACCCTGTGTACCACAGAAGGAAACACCGCCCGGTCCTGTGCCATCCTCGCAACCATTGTTATGCTTAAGCCCATTGTTGCAGCCACTGTGTCAATCCATCTTGTTGAGGGTCTTCCTCTTTTTCACTGACCCTCTACTTTACCAAGCATGACGTCCTTCTCCAGGGACTGATCCCTTCTGACAACATGTCCAAAGTATGTGAGATGCAGTCTCGCCATCCTTGCTTCTAAGGATAGATGAGTGTAATTAAATAGGTGGCGATAAAACATTAACCATCAAGCCTCCGAGGGAACAGCATGCCAGAGTCCAAACAGTTCTGCTAGGAGGCTCTGAGATGGACGCAGCCCACAGGTTCTCGTCAGCTAACTTGGTCATGGACCACACGTGGGGCCGCGGACAGGCTCTGCCAGACTGGACAAGAACACAGGGGTGTGGCCTTAGCTGGAGGGGTGTTGGGGTCTCTAAGATAAACGAGGTTTAAACACAATACTGAAGATTCATGTTGGAAATTCAACTGCTTTTATGTCACGTAAAATATTTAGAAATCCACTAAACCAAAAAAAACCACTGTTGTGGAGTGGACTCTGACTCATGGCGACTCCATGTGTTACAGAGCAGAACTGTGCTCCGTCGGGCACTCTTGGCTGTAGTCTTTGTGGAAGCAGATTGCCAGGCCTTTCCTCCAAGGCACCACTGGGTGGATTTGAACCACCAATCTTTAGGTTAATAGACCAGTGTAAACTGTTTGTGCCACCTGGGGAAGTTAAGATTCCTCTAAGGTAAAGCAGGAGCCCTGGTGGCGCAGCGGTTAAGAGCTCAGCTGTCAACCAAAAGGTCAGCGGTTCAAATTCACCAGGTGCTCCTTGGAAACCCTATGGGGCAGTTCTACTCTGTCCTATAGGGTGGCTATGAGTTGGAATTGACTCAACAACAATGGGTCTGGTTTTTTGGTTTTAAAGTTAAGCCAGAGGAGGAGCACTAGTGGCACAATGATGAAGCACTCAGCTGATGTCATGGGTTGAATTGTGTTCCCCCAATATATGTATTGTAAATCCTAACCCCTATACTTGTGAATGTGATCCCGTTTGGAATAGGGTTTTCTCTGCTATGTTAATGAGGTCGTGTTAGTGTAGGGCGTGTCTTAAACCAGTCGCCTATGAGGTAAAAAACAAGCAGATCAGGCACAGAGAAGCAAGCAGAGGAGGTGAACGATAGATGCACAGGATCACCAAGGAGCTGAGAAACAGAAGCTGGGAAGAGACAAGGGCCTTCCCTGCACCAACAGGAGGAGAGTCTTCTCCTAGAGCTGGTGCGCTGAATTCAGACTTCTAGCCTCCAAGAAGGAGCCCTGGTGGCACAGGGGTTAAACATTCAGCTGTTAACAGAAAGGTCAGCAGTTCAAACCCACCAGCAGCTCCATGGGAGAAAGATGTGGCGGCCTGCTTCCATGAAGATTGCAGCCTTGGAAACCCTGTGGGGCAGTTCTACTCTGTCCTATAGGGTCGCTGTGGGTTGGAATTGACTCAGCAGCAGTGGGTCTGTTTTTATTGGTTTTAGCCTCATAAACTGTGAGAGAATAAATTTCTCTTTGTTAAAGCTGCCCACTTGTGGTATTTCTGTTATAGCAGCACTAGATGACTAAGACAGCTGCTAACT